CGCAAATGCTCGAGGAGCCATGTGTAACGTGTGAATTATGCGTTTTCATATTCATTTGTACAATTTTATTGAGTCAATCATGCATGCCATCAATTCTTTTCTGGAGTTGATAATCGAATGTAAAAAACATATTTATCTGCTTTCCATTCATACTAATGCCATGGAAGCAATTAGATGCATAATTTGCAGCGGCTAGATAATTGATTGTAATTTACTCAAGACTAATATTTGGTTTGTCATTCTCTGTTGGTCCTACTAGAGCTTTTCTTTATAGGAAACGGTCTTAATAGAGCTTTTTATGTGTAGGAATTTGGTGCATGGAAGCAAGCAGAGGGCGGTAATGAATGAAGTTCAGCAAGCGAACTGGCATTGAATAAAAATCAGCAATTTGGTGCATGGAAGCAAGCAGAGGGCAGTAATGAATAAAGTTCAGCAAGTGAACTGGTATTGAATAAAAATCAGCAATTTGGCGCGTGGAAGCAAAGCAGAGGGCAGAGGGCAGGTGTTATTCACCCTCCATTTAGTACGGCATGCAATCTGCTTAGATTGTTACGTTTGCCGGTTATGCTTTATGCAATCTGCTTAGATTGATTCTGAGGATGCCAGGTTGTGGGGCGTTGCCAGCAGCAATGGTTGGTGATTACCGAAGACATCGACTGAAGTCTGAACTGATTCGTTTTGGAGATTGTTGTAGAGATTGCACAACAAACAGGAGCAAGTTAGCTTTGAACTTGTAGATTGCAACCACCTATTCGCTGGTCGTGTGATCGTCTGGAGCGTTTTTCTCTTCCTTTTGCCAACCTTCAGGTTGCTAATTGTTCCTGCTATGGAGCTTGAGCTCTTGTTGTGATGCTCCGAACTCCGAAGCCTGAAGTGTTTGCCAGGGTCGTCACTCGTCAGACAGTAGCTGCGGTTGCGGGCCTATCGTTGGAGCAACCGAGCAGTCCTTTCTGACAGTTTTGCTCCTCGTGGGTGGTTTTCAGGCTTCCTTTTTGGGTAAAATTTTACCTTTTTCGGTTTTCAGGCTTCTGTCTATTCCTTGGGGTTTTTTTTTCATGTTGTAAGACATTTAGTTCTTTGTTGTTTAGGTTCCCCCTTTTTCTCCTATATGTAAAACTCACATGCAATCCTCCTGCATCTGCATGGTTTGAAGAAAAAAGAGCCTGCTTCGAGACCTGGCGATGCAAATGCCAGGGACCGAAGCCACCGCTGTTGTCAGGCTGCAGACGCAAGGTTACATGGTCGCTGGTTTCAGCCATGGCGGCGCGAGCCTGCTCACGCACTCTGAAGATGGCAGGGGAAGATCAGTGTTATACAATCAAGCGTCGCTATTTGGTGCAGTTGGCCGCTGTTTGGGAGGTGAGGAAGGTTAGATGAATGTGTAATGGCTGGGCTTTTTCGAACCCTGTCCGAAGAGGGTTCGAAACTATGTTTAAACCCTGCTGTCGTGCGCGGTATGCTTCATTTCTGTTCTAGGACGGTGCTGATTCATTAACACTAGATGTTGGGAGGGTATGCGAGATTGATATGTTTTTATATATAGCCTGGTTGCTGCTGATTGATTTGAAAATCATTGGCCGGTCAAAATCGTAAACCAGATCCAAAAATAGAATACCTCATTTGGATAAAGAGCTTCGAAATTAGGGAACTAGTGAATTAAAAGAATTAAATGGGAGAGCTTGACAAATTGTTGACCCGGTCAAAATTGAATGTCCCATTTCTAAATTGAATACCCTAATTAATTGCGAGGCCTTAAAAATCAGAAAACATAGTTTATAGTATAAAAGAATTGAATGAGAGCGCTTTGAGAATTTGTTGACCCAGTTAAAATTGGATGACTCAATAATAATTGGAGACCTCAATTGAGCATTGGCTCTTTAAAACTAGGGAGCTTAGTGTTATACAGGACTGGAGAAGGGGAGGCCATTTTGGCTATTTCCCTAATATTTTTGACATCTATGAGGTTGCTACTCAACTCCGTAGAAGTATTATTCATTGGAGCTGTGACACTTTGTTCTACTCCGTTAGTCTCCGAGAGAAACCTCGGATTCATCTAGATTCGCCGATAGTTGCGTGTCGTGCGTCGCTCCCCCTAGGAATCATCCATGAGCCCCTTCACTTTTGTCGTGTTTTGTTGCCAGGACAGAGCGTCCGGATCTCCACGTGTGGCCCTTATACTGTAACTATGATGGTGCCAAGTGGTGGACCGTATTCTTCTATCCAATTTGGAGCCTCCTTTTGGTTGTATGTCTCATGCCAACGGCAATTTAGTGCCACAATTATGGTGTCATTTTCGTTATTGGCTAGCTATGGCTAATGTGTCCTAGAGGGGGGTGGGGGGGGGGGTGATGTTTATAATGTTGTGGTGGTGTTGATGTTTGTCACTTCTTGCAGTGTGTGTTTGACTTTGGGTTACTCTTATCACTGTGGACTGGCCGTGTTTTTTTGCCGGTTTTCCTTGCTAAGTGGCAATTCACTTTTTTAGTGGAAGACCATCATGGCTAAATACTTACATTGTCCATAAGTTGGCTGACTTAGTTATAGGCTCATTCATTCAACTAAACAAAAGCTTATTATAATATCTATAGTTTCTTTTTGCGAAAAAACTCCCGATCTATTTATCTTCAATCATAGCAGTACAATGAACACTAGAAATGATAAAAATTACATTCAGATCCATAGACCACCTAGCGATGACTACACGTACTGAAGCGAGCCGAGGGCGCGCGATCGTCATCGCCACTCCCTCGCTGGAGCCAGGAAAAACTTGTTCTAGCTAATAGACAGTCGGGAAGTTGTCGCGCTAAAGCCCCATAGGATCAGGGCACCAGAACAACAACCACAGCCGATGAAGAGTAGTGTAGACCGGAATGATCCAACCTGAAAACACAAGAATGTAGATGAACGACGACCAGATTCAAGCAAATCCACTATCGTGGGGATGGACCCCGGGCAGGCAACTGAACCCGGATCCTTTTCAAAAACATCGGGGCTAGCAATGCCCCTCAATCCGTCTGGCCCTTGGTCGGGTCCCGCAACCCGGCCAGACTCGCTAGAGCATGCCGGTGGGACCCAGCAAGTCAAGACTTCTTCAACAAGTAAGCGCGACCACAGTGCGTCCCTCAGCCCGGCCGCGGGCCAACTCCTGTCCCATCCAAGGCGTATGATGGAACAAGTCCCCATGAAGGGATGAGCGTGGCTATAGTGGCCCGTTGTCTGATTTTTTTTAAGAGACTCGATCTTATGTATCTACTTATTGTCTTTTTGCCTTTGATCGGTAGTTCCATAGCCTGTTTTTGGACGTTTTTTAGGATCTGAAGAAACCGCTATAATGACCACCACGTGCGTTTCATTTTCTTCGATCTTATCTTCGATTGCTTTTTATGAAGTCGTACTGGGAGCTAGTGCTTGCTTCTCAGAATAGCTCCATGGATCTCATCGGAAATGTTTGATGCTTCTTGGGGCTTCTTTGGCGACCTGAAGTCACCGATGAATTGCTGAGTAGATAGATCAGATCCGGATGCTGCATTTGTTCCGCGGTGATACGGACTCGACCCGCTCCTACCCACCCTGGGGCGTTGACCGGCAGGAGCGTGGCAACAGTGGCCCACCTACCCCGTTGACCAGAGCCGGCGTGGCTACAGTGCATCATCCATCATGTTGACGCAAGCCGACGATGACCATGCGACGCGCCACTGTAGTCAAGCCGGCTCGACCACTCGGTGACGCATGGCAAGATGGGAAAAGTGCCCCCTGGCGCACGGGGCCCATGCCCGGAGAACCCGGCGAATCCTGGCACCCGGCGGGCCCCAGCACCGGCTTCCGAGACGCTGACATCCCAGCCCCTCGCCCATGTAACTTTACCATTGTAACCCTGGGGGGTTGATTTATAAACCCCCCAGGAGGCCTCCATGCACGGGGCGAGGCAATCATCAGTAGAATACACACACATACAAGGAGAAGGAGCATCCTATGCTTTGGCCTGTCTTCCTCCCTCCTCAAGACAACTCTAGGAGCAAGCTTGTACCCTCTACACATAAACCACACTCGGTAGGACTAGGGGTATTATCTCTTCGGAGAGCCCCGAACCTGAGTATGTCTTGCGTCCCTCGCTCGCTCATGTTGACCTCGCCTCTGGATCCTACCGGTGCCCTCGAGCCTATCCCTCTCCTTAGCCATCATTTGGCATCTGACGTGCGCCCACTACGACATCCACCAAAAATAGAGCTGCCGGAGACACATCTTCACATGTCCATCGGTGATGCTAGAGGCATCACCGGGGCGGGGGCTAGACAAGGAGAACCTTATTCCATCTTCAGGGAGCCGCCGCGCGTCGCGCCTACATGAGCAAGACACAAATCTTAACATAACTCAAAGAAACATCTAAAAACAAACCCTTTCACTGGCAAAAAGCCGGGATCCACCATGTCTCCATGGCCCTAAGGCCACCGGAGTCCGAAGACGAGGCGGACCAGCGCCGACGCCGACGGGAGGCAAAGGAAGTCTAATTTCTTTAGGGAGGAAGCGGTTGCGTATTGGATTTTCATAATAATAACTATACTTTGCTAGCACACGTGCGGATTGATAAAAATAACGAAAACAATGGTCAAATACTAACCTCCTTATTGTTGTAGCAATCCCCACACATTGCGTGAAAATTGCTACTGTTGCATCTCAACATTTTACAATGCAATAAAAGACTTTCACTCTGCATATCAGTTTTCACAAAAAGATAAGAATAACTTTTTCTGACCTGGAGATTTTTTTTAAGAAAAAGAGAAGAAGAATTTTGTTGTGAGATAATTATTCAGCCAAGTTATTATCCCCACACATTCTGGTGGCCGTTGGATGTTAGTTGGATGGCAGAGATTGGATGATTACTTTAGTAGCTCAGCCAAGTCACACCATCAGATCAGAGGAGACTCACGCCGCACCCAACGCCACTGGAATTCCCCACCGCTGCCGCCGCCGCCGCCGCCGCCGCCCGCCGTCCCGGCGTCATGCTCCTCCTCCTCCGGCAGCGCATCCTCTCCCATCTCCTCTCCGCGGCACCAGATCCTTCCACCTCTCCACTCCTCTCTCTCCACCGCCTCCTCTCCGCCGCCACGCCCGCCATTTCCCCGAACCCTAGCTTCGCCGTGGAGGACTACCTCGTCGGCACCTGCGGCCTCACCCGAGCCCAGGCACTCAAGGCCTCCGCCAAGCTCTCCCACCTCAGGTCCCCCTCCAAGCCCGATGCCGTGCTCGCCTTCCTCGCCGGCCTCGGCCTCTCCGGCGCCGACGTGGCCGCCCTCGTCGCCAGGGACCCGCTCTTCCTCTGCGCCGGCGTGGAGAGAACTCTGGACCCCGTCGTCGCTGGGCTGACCGGCCTCGGCCTGTCAAATGCTGAGACTGCGCGCCTCATCTCGCTTGCCCCGGACAGTTTCCGCCGCAGATCCGTCGTCTCCAAGCTAGAGTACTACCTGCCGCTCTTCGGCTCCATCGACAACTTGCTCCGGCCCCTCAAACACGGCTCCGGCTTCCTCTGCTCCGACCTAGAGAGGGTTGTCAAGCCCAATGTCAAGCTCCTAGCAGAGTGCGGGCTAGGTGCTTGTGATATTGCCAAGCTCTTCATCCGTGTACCGAGGATACTTTGTGCCAAACCAGGGCGTGTCGTGACGATGATTGCGCGCGCCGAAGATATAGGTGTGCCTCGTGGCTCTGGAATGTTCAGGCAAGCACTGCACGCCGTCTCATACTTCAGCCAGCACAAGATCACTGCCAAACTGGACTACTTGAAGAAGACACTTAGGTGGTCAGATACCGAGGTTGGCATTGCGGTGTCCAAGGCTCCGGTGTTGCTGACAAGGTCACATGATGTGCTGCAGCGTATGTCAGAGTTCCTTATCTCTGAGGTGGGGTTGGAGCCGGCCTACATTGCTCATCGCCCCGTTATGCTCACTTACAGCCTGGAGGGCCGGCTCAGGCCCCGCTACTATGTTGTGAAATTTCTCAAGGAAAATGGATTGCTAGAGCACGGGCGGAGCTACTATACATCACTGATTAGGACTGAGAAGGTTTTCACGGAAAAGTTCATATGCCCTCACAAGGAAGCCGCACCACACCTCGCTGAGGACTACGCGGCTGCTTGCAAAGGGGAAGTGCCGGCTAGATTCAGATTTACATGAACCAAGAATGGGCTATGAGAATTGGTAAACTGTGTACGGTGCAACAAAGTTTTCATTTTGTTGAAAGCTGGTAATTCCTGTTTCAGTGTACTTTGCCTAAGTTGATGTTGGTTATCCGCTCTGTTAGATGCTGGTATGGTCTTTGCTAACTCTTGATGAAACTGATAATTTGAATCCTGATATGCTAAAGTTATCATTTACTCCCTCCGCCCTATAATACAAGATGTTGTTACAACCAATGTACTCATATATTGATTGTAATAACATCTTACATTATGGGACGGAGGAAGTTGTAGAGAAGAAACCATGCCTTTGTTGTGAACTTGTTCATCATCATGCCGTGCCATGCTATCTAACACTTGGAACTAAGTAAATGAGAACAGGTCATTCTACATTGTATTAAAATCTCTATTTTATATTTTTAATGCATTCTGGGTGATGTTTGGCTTGCACGGATGGCATAAGTGTGCCCCATGACTTTGGGATGTTCAGGCACACCCTGTGCATTGTCGCATTCCTTGGCAGGAAAAATATCGCCACCAAAATGAAATACCTGAAGAAAATGTTAAGGTTGACTGATGCCGAGGGTGAGTATTCCTGTGCCTAAGGTTCTGATTTTGTTGAGGATGTCCAAGGAATCGCTTCAGCGAAGGTTCGAGTTCCTCATCTCTGAGTTGGGGTTGGAACAGGCTTACATTTCTTATCGCCCACCAATTTTCTATTATAGCCTGGAGGGCCCGCTGAAATCCTGGTTCTGCTGTAAAGTTTCTTAAGACACTTAACATATTTAAATGCTTACTGCACCACAAATTGTTTCAGTGTTCTTGCCTGACAAGAGTTGGTTGTCAGGTCTGGTATGGCTGTCGCATGCTAGGTTGGTCATTGCTAAGACTTGATGAAGCTAGTAACTGGATCCATGAGTATTCATATCTCCATATCATCATAAATTTGTCTCTTAATGTCAATTCTGGACCCTCTTTTTGGGAACAATTTTGGACTAATTGATGGCGACAATACATTGATCAATCCAAGGATTCAGTTTTGATCCAGTTTGTTGGTTGCTTGTTCTAATTCTTGTGAGCTGAAAATCCCCGTTCTTTCTGCAATGCTATGGCTGGTTAAAACCAAGCCTCCTCTTGTTTTCACCAGTCAGCCTTACATGTGTCTGAAGCTGTGTTGTTATATCATGATCTGTGCTAGCAAATGGTTGGAATATTTACTTCTGCCTTGATTGACCTCAGGTGTTAGCCTCATTGTTCTGGATCTTTTGGAAAATGAGAAATTGTACTTGTTTTCATAGGTGGCTGGTGGCAAGTGAGGATGTTGTTCAAGGCTGGAATGAACATTGGCGTCCTGCGCTTGGAGAATGGCTGAAGAATAGTGGTTTTGCAATCTGTCTGCTATCTATCAGTGAGCTTGTTGGTATGTTGTTCAGTCCATAAATCTGTTGGTATTTCTGCCCAGCATAAATTTTGTTGGAACCGTGTGCTATATAAGTTTGTTCGGTAGTAACTCCCCACTTCTGCTGCTGCGCATATGTTTACAGTTTACATTCGCACCTTATAGTTTAATAAGACCTCCTGCTCCAGCTGTTCCAGCTTGTCAAAATTCAGCATCTAAAGATAACAATGCTGCATTTGTTTGTCTTGGCGGAGTTACATTTTTCCTTATGTTCTGATGTACTCAAGTTATACTAAACCAGAGGGAGTATGTTGTGATAGTGAGTTACAGTTAACCATTGTTTTGACCTCTTGCTAGCATAGCTTTTTCTTTTGAGTTACTACCACTCATGCGCGATTAGCTAACTCATAAAACAGTAAAACTGAAAATTATGGTTACTGCTGATGGGGTCGGCGAGGAGATCCCCCTTGTAACTGATGTCGCGGCATGGTTGACGAGCCATGATGTGGCGCTTGGAGAATGCATTAAGAATGGTGTTTAGCTTTCTTTCTGCTATACTATAATGTATCGCTGAGCTTTTTTGGAAGTGGTTCAGTCAGTGCCTATATCGCTGGTGCTGTAACAGGAGCGCTCACCTTCGAAGGGCGGCGAGTATTGTTTTGCGGTGGTAGATGTAGTTCCTCTCCACCCCACCCGCTGGCCACCGCCAGCAGCTGACACGCGGACCTCCTTAGAGCACGTGGGGCTCAGGAACAGGGCATGGTCGCCGAAGCTTCTCGCCTCCGCCAACTTGTACTCATATTGCGTCCTCTCGTCGTGTTGAGCGCCGCCGTCTTCATTCACGGGAACAGCTTGGTGCGTGAGATCCCATATAGGGACAGTTTGTTGTTCTGAGAGGGGCCATAGAGTTCTCTGTTGCAGAAGGCGATGTCCAGCCGACCTCCGGGTAGCCAACCCTGCAGGCAATCTGAAGCTACGGCTTATAACGGACGAAACTGAAGCTGATACAGCTGAGCAGAAGGTGGGAAATGGTTTGGCAAATCGTACTCCCTCCATTAGGAATTACTTGTCTCGAAAATGGATGTATCTAGAACTTAACATACGTCTAAATACATCCATTTCTGCGACAAGTAATTCCGAACGGAGGGAGTAGCAGCGAGGGACAAGTGAGTGTGGGATCAAGGCGGTCAGTGAGGGTAGCCGTAGTGATGCACATCATGAACTATCGATGTTGTTTATATATGGATGCATGTATGTCTCAAAAAAGAAGGTTTATATATGGATGTAGAGAGGAAATTCTGAACTCCTCCCCTTTGTTCTTCTTCTTCTTCCCCAAGTCTCCCTGTTCTTCTCTCCTACCCATGAAATTATAGATTTATTGTTCCAATCACAGGTTAGGACGTTAGGTCATAACAAAATCATGTGATCTGTTAGGTCTCTTCGGAGGAGCAGCCACGGCTCCGCCGTTCAAACCCAGTGCGTTGTGTAACAGGTCACAGATCCATGGAAGACAAGTTCCTCACCGAGATTAAGGGGAGAAAGGACATACAAGGGGATAGAAAAAGATGAAATTGACTAGGTGAAACAACTGCTCGGGATCATCCCACTAATTAACCAGCCATCCAATGAAGTAGCCTCCATGACCAAAGTGCTACTTCCGTGTTTGCCCTAGCATGCAGAGACCAAAAGGCCATGCCAGAGCAGCATCAATGAGCTAGCCATGTTCACTATGTTCATTCACTTCCGTGTTTGCTCTACATGATGCATCACTCAAATGAAAAGAACTTGCACACTTTCTCTCAGCTAGCTTCCCAAAGCAACCCCACCGTTTGTAATTTATAGAGGTACATTATTGCCCGTGTTTTATTAATGCATGCCGACCAATAATTTCTCAGAAGTTATAAAGATTTGGTACTTTCTTGTATAGCTTGTTTGGTTGGAGATAATTGAAGAGAGAGAAACGGAAATTTAGACGTTCTGCGACACAAAGTAACTCCTTTGCGGAATCTGATAATATAGGAAGGATTATGCGTGACAACTGGGAGTATAGCTCGTAACATTTTTAATAACAGGTAGAATGGTTTTTAGGAGAGAACTGTTTTACATAGAACATCTTGATACTTTGTCATAACTTATATTCTCATCACCTACAAAATCTCACGCAATCCCCAAACTCACCCAATATGTCTGCCCGGATAGTTCGGAGAAAAAAGCGTGTGTAACGACCCTCTTCCCAAACCCGCCCCATTTGTCCAGACCCGTATGTGGGGAAGAAATGGGAGATAACTGGGAGACCCCATTGGAGGGGAGGACAAATGTGGCTCAGCAAATAAGGGCTCAAATTAGGCACTTGCCCTGTGAACGAATGAGTTGGCGCCAGAAGCACTACAGTCACATGTTGAGCTTCTTGGAGAGCAAAAAGGGGTGACAAGGCTTGAAGCCCCACTTGACCATGTGGCAAAAGCCTGACATCTAGAAGAAGGAAACGATAGACTCAAAAAAGAATAAGAAGGAAACGAAGGGCCATGTTGAGTGGTGCGAAATCTGTAATTAAGCGCACCCCTTGCAAAGGTCACTATCATCTTTTCCAGGATGCGAATAGTTGCGCACATGCTTGTGACAAGTGGCGCACGACATGTACGCCATTTGTCGCAACCTAGAGTTTTCTCTTTTTTCGTAGATTCGTTTATTGAAAACATTCTATCTCTTAAACCATTTGTCTAAATCATGAATCGTTTTCACCGTTGGATTTTTTGCATTGAGATCTATGAAACTCGATAAACTATTAATAGGTTTCGACGTGTTTTTTTAAACCGGAAGAAAAAGAGCTGAGCCGGTAGCATGATTTTTTCCTCATTTTTTTCCCTTTCAGAGAGACACAATTGTGCCTCAGACGGAAGCAAAATTTTGCCTCCATGCGAAGCAAATCTGTGCCGCTAGCGGAAGAAGAAAAAAACGTGTTTTTTACATTCATGTGAGGTACAGTTCTGGCTCTTGCAGAAGTAGACATATGCCTTCATGAGAAGCATCTCATGGGGGGAATAAACCATTTTTTTCCTTTCCGAGAGGCACAACTATGTCTCTCACGGAAGCAAACCTGTGCATCTTGCGGAAGAAATAAAATGTGTTTTTTGCGCATTTTTTTTTGAAACCTAGGGAAGAAGGGACAAAAAATAAAAAGCCGAAAACACTATCTAAAACCCGGGAATGCGTAAGGCAAAAGCAAATAAAATCCCGAGGGAGCGCCCATCCCGAGGGAGCGCCCAATACGTGACATGTAGCACCCCACACTTAGTTGCTCTCGAAGTGGTTAGGTAGAGGACAGGAGGTGGCCCTTGTTTTGGGCTGAAATACTTGGATATGTTTTTTTCTTTTTGAGCGGGAATACTTGGATGGTTTGTTATTGCATACCAGTTTCTGTTTTTTCACACATGTACATGAATTGAACTGGGGCGGCCCCTGGCGGCGGTCCTTGCAAAGAAAAGAAAGGGCGTAGAAGTGGGCAGAAAAAACATGGAATTAGCGCCGATAAGACTGGCTTTGCTCCTCCTACTAATTAACCAGCCAGCCAACGTAGGCATCACTATCCCTGAAGTGCG